CGCGATCTCGTTCTTTCGGTCATTACCCAAAGCTCATGACCATAGGTGAGGATTGGGACGTAGATCGACCGGTAAATCGAGAGCCTGGCTTTCTGGCTCAGCTCCCTCTTCGCCACGACAGATCGGCTCAGCGTCCGCATCACTGCAGATGCCGAACCAATCCGCCTGTCGATCTCCCGATCCCTCCTACCCTCACTCGTGAACAAGACCCCGAGATACTTAAACTCCTCCACTTGAGGTAGGACCTCTCCCCCGACCCGGAGGTGGCAAGCCACCCTTTTCCGGTCGAGAACCATGGTCTCAGATTTGGAGGTGCTGATCCTCATCCCAGCCGCTTCACATTCGGCAGCGAACCTACCCAGGAAGAGCTGAAGGTCAGAGCTGGATGAAGCTAGGAGGACCACATCATCCGCAAAAAGCAGAGACGAGATTCTCCTGCCACCAAACTCGACACACTCCACACCACGGCTGTGTCTAGAAATTCTGTCCATAAAAGTGATGAAAAGAACCGGTGACAAAGGGCAGCCCTGGCGGAGTCCAACCCTCACTGGGAACAGGTCCGACTTACTACCGGCTATGCGGACCAAACTCACGCTCCTCTGGTAAAGGGACTGAATGGCCCTTAACAGAAAGCCACCCACCCCATACTCCTGGAGCGTCCCCCACAGGATGCCCCTGGGGACACGGTCATAAGCCTTCTCCAAATCCACAAAGCACATGTGGATTGCTTGGGCAAACTCCCATGCCCCCTCCATCACCCTTGCAAGGGTATAGAGCTGGTCCACAGTTCCACGGCCAGGACGAAAACCACATTGCTCCTCCTCTATCTGAGATTCAACTATCGATCGGACCCTCCTCTCCAGTACCTTGGCGTAGACCTTTCCAGGGAGGCTGAGGAGTGTGATCCCCCTATAGTTGGAACACACCCTCAGGTCACCCTTCTTAAAGATGGGGACCACCACCCCGGTCTGCCACTCCCTAGGAACTGCCCCCGATGACCACGCAATGTTGTAGAGACGTGTCAACCATGACAGCCCTACAACATCCATAGCCTTGAGATACCCAGGACGAACCTCATCCGCCCCCGGGGCTCCGCCGCTGTGTAGTTGTTTGACTACCTCAGCAACTTCTGCCCCCGAGATCGGACAGTCCATCCCCAGGCCTCCCAGCTCTGGTTCCTCCTCGGAATGCGCATTGGTGGGATTGAGGAGCTCCTCAAAGTATTCCTTCCACCGTCCGACTATAGCCTCAGTTGACGTCAGCAGCTCCCCATCCCCACTGTAAACAGTGTGAGCGAGTTGCTTCCTTCCTCTCCTGAGGCGCCGGACAGTTTGCCAGAACCTCTTTGGAGCCGATCGATAGTCTTTCTCCATGGCCTCACCAAACTCCTCCCACGCACGAGATTTTGCCTCGGCAACTGCCACTGCTGCACCCCGCTTGGCTATCCGGTACCTGTCTGCTGCCTCCGGAGACCCACAGACCAGCCACGCCCTGTAGGCCTCCTTCTTCAGCCTGACGGCTCCCCGAACCTCTGGTGTCCACCAGCGGGTACGGGGGTTGCCACCACGACTGGCACTGGCCACCTTACGACCACAGCTAGCAACAGCCGCCTCGACAATCGCAGAGTGGAACAAGGCCCACTCGGACTCAATGTCCCCCACTGCTCTCGGGACGTGGTCAAAGCTCTGCCGGAGGTGGGAGTTGAAGACCGTCTTGACAGGTTCTTCTGCCAGGCGTTCCCAGCAGACCCTCACTATGCGTTTGGGTCTGCCAGGTCTATGCGGCATGTTCCCTTGCCATCTGATCCAACTCACCACCAGGTGGTGATCAGTTGACAGCTCCGCCCCTCTCTTCACTCGGGTGTCCAAAACATACGGCCGCAGGTCAGATGATACGACTACAAAATCTATCATCGACCTGTGACCTAGGCTGCCCTGGTACCAAGTGTACCGATGGGCATCCTTATGTTCGAACATGGTGTTCGTTATGGCCAAACTGCGGCTTGCACAGAAGTCCAATAACAAAACACTGCTCGAGTTCAGATTAGGTGGGCCGTTCCTCCCAATCACACCCCTCCAGGTCAAGCTGTCATTGCCCACGTGAGCATTGAAGTCCCCCAGCAGGACAATGGAGTCCCCTGATGGAGCACTATCTAGCACTCGTCCCAGGGACTCCAAAAAGGGTGGGTACTCTGAACTGATATTTGGCCCATAAGCACAAACAACAGTCAGGACCCGTTCCCCGACCCGAAGGCGCAAGGAAGCTACCCTCTTGTCCCCCGGGGTAAACCCCAACACACAGGCAGAGAGTCTCGGGGCTAACAAAAAGCCAACCCCAGCCCTCCGCCTCTCACCCGGAGCAACTCCAGCAAAGTAGAGTGTCCAACCCCTCTCCAGGTCTCGGGTTCCAGAGCCAATGCAATGTGTCGAGGTGAGTCCGACTATATCTAGCCGGTACCGCTCAACCTCTGCCACAAGCTCCGGCTCCTTCCCCGCCAGCGAGGTGACGTTCCATGTCCCAAAAACTAGTTTTCTTGTCCGGGGATTGGACCGCCAAGGCTCCCGCCTTGGTCTGCCACCCGATTCGCATTGCACCGGACCCTTCATGTTCCTCCTGCGGGTGGTGGGTCCACAGTTGGACGAGCCCATGTATCCGGTTCGGGCTGGGCCCGGCCGGGCCCCATGGGCGAAAGCCCGGCCACCAGGCGCTCGCACACGGGCCCCAACCCCAGGCCTGGCTCCAGGGTGGGACCCCGGTAACCCTCCGGGCCGGGTACTCCGACTCTTCGTTTTAACCGCCATGAAAGATCCTTCGAACCGTTCTTTGTCTCACCCTTCACCTAAGACCAATTTGTCATGGGAGACCCTACCAGGGGCACTAAGTGCCCCAGACAACATAGCTCCCAGGATCATTAGGGCACTCAAACTCCTCCACCACGATAAGGTGACGGTTCAAGGAGGAGTAAATGTTATATTAAATGTTATATTAAATGTAAGCGAGTTACTACCCGCTAGCCACTGAAGCTGCAACTAAGCAACTAACCAACCATAGCTAACTGTTTTGGATATAAAGAAACATTTCAGATATCAGCCTGATAGCTACAATTGGTTGACTTACATTTAAAATAGAAATTTGTCCCCGAAGTAGCTGCCGGCTTCTGATTCGCCATCCTTTTGAAAAATTACTGGGTAATGTTTGACCAAGGCTAGGCTACAAGACAACTCCCGTGTATCCTTGCTCAGCTAGCGAAACGGCTAACAAATGAAGAACAGACGCCTTGGTAGAAAATAAATATTGGTACATGCCTTAGCGATTCCTGATGACATATCTCTCAGGAAACCGGGGTGGGACCAAGACACCAAGGTGAGGTTCCTTAGCTTTGAGAAACACTCCAGATCCTGCCGTCTGAAACTATTTTGTCCTCCGTCTGACTTAACCAGGTGCATTTGAGCTCCCCCCCCCCAGGGAAGAACTTACAACGCATAATTCCTACTAAAGACCACTTCAAAAGTATTAAAAATATGAATAAAGTTGACCTTTGAGAAACTAAAATAAAGAATTTTTTGAATAAACTTGTTAAATAACTTTCATGAACCACTGGATGACTTTTAATAGGTCCTGAGTAAAGGTCAAAGTTTATTTCTATAGCCCTGTCACCACGGGCCTTAAGACAAGATGATGAAACAGTTAACAGGGCCTGGGAACAAGAACACGCGGTTCCAGTTGGAACATGGTGAATCAGCAGCTCAGTGATGTAGGAGGGAGCCATACCCTGCAAGGATTTAAAAACAAAAAGTAAAAATTTAAAATGGAGCCTGAAATAAACAGGAATCCAGTGCAATGAGGCCAAGACTTGGGTCAAGTGCCCTGCCTTTTGGTACCAGTCAGCAATCCAACTGTGAGGAAACAAACAATAACAAAGCTCCCAAGGTGTAATCGCTGGGATGTGACATACATCTACAACAACTGTTGGAGTTATCCAATTCAAGATGGCCACCACTGCTAAATCATCACTGTACTTGCTGCCCAGTCAACTTCCGCCTTCCCTAACTCTTGAACAAGACACCAAAATCAATCAATCAATCAAAGCTTTATTTATAAAGCGCCTTCCGCAGCCCTGTCAGGAAGCCCAAGGCGCTGAACACTGTACAGTACAAAGTCAAATAAAGTGAATAAATCAGAAAATAAAAGCAATTCAAATTACAGATGACATATTACAAAAAAGGTGAAACATTCTAGTAGAAATGCCTAAACGTTTCCATTTAAGATTTATGTCACAAGCTGTTATAATAATTAAGTCTAAATAAATAAATACATGGTCTGTAGCTGTAGATCCAGCATGTTTTAGTTGTTTCCCTAATCCAACACACTTGAATCACCTGTTTAGCAGCTCATTAAGCTCTGCAGAAACCTAGGAAAATAGTTTTGGGGGATTCTTGTGAAATTGGGAGCTTAAATCTGAACACAAATGGATAGAATCATGCACACATTTTAGGATCGCTGTACACCACAGAGCTGAAGATCATAATAGAAGCAAAGGACCAAACTCAACACCCCATATGGCCTTGACAGTCTGTCTGTTATGGACCACAGCAGCCCTGGCTGGCTGAGTCTAACTCCTAGCAGGAAGATAGATAAACAATCAGGAATGTTGTGTTTGGTCTCTAAAGAAATGGCTGCTGTCTGATACTTAATTTGTGGTTTGTCCTCTGAAATACTCCCAAGTTTCAAAACACCTCATAAAATATTTCACTCAACAATTCTTTTCTTCGAATACTTTTATATACTTTCATTCATATCTTGCTTCAGTTTGCTAGTATTTTTATTTTGTGAATGTTTCCATAAAAATTGTATTTTTTTTTTTTTTGCCCTGGTGCTGGGTGTCACGCGCTGTTTTATCTTTCCAACACAGGCGGAGGCGTGGCTTCACCTGCTTCGTGACGTTATCAGGAAGAGCCGAGTGCAGTGTGCTGAAAGCGGTCTCGCGTGTAAGTAGAAATGTCACTTTTAACTACTAACGGGCGCTATTTTATGTCATCTAAGACTTTATTGCATCAAACTATTACTCTTTATTTGTCCAACTCGTGCTGTAGGCGAGGAAAAGTAACTTTCTTTGGCGTTGAAGTTTCTGCGAGTCGAGTCAAGGACAGAAAACAGGCTTTGCACTGTTTTTGTTTTGCTTTGAACCGAATGTCTGTTTAATTTTGTAGCATTTTAAGATTATAGCACTTTTTGCTGACATAGGTGAGTATTTTGAAGTACCTTAACTGATTTATGAATCTATAACGGTTTCTGTTTAATTCGGCATAATTTTAAAAGCAATTACATATATATATATATATATATATATATATATATATATATATATATATATATATATATATATATATATATATATATATATGTGTGTGTGTGTGTGTTTTGTTATTGTACAAAAATAACGTTGTGTTGATGAACATGAGCGAATAGTCGATTAGATTAGAGTTATTTTAAGTAATTTGGCATGTGCTGAACCTGAAAGCACTGCAACTATACTCTGGTTTAGGATTAAATTCATGTTTGCTAATATTTGATGGCAGTGGCTGTGACAGATGTAGGACATGCCAGCTGAGACACTGAGATGATGGGAATGTCTTTGTTCCAAAAACAGACAGATGTCTGACTGAAGCCCACTGGCAAATCTGCATTTAGCATTTGCTTTTATTTTTAGACTATCAGATGGAATGGGAAGTGGCTCCCAGACAAGCGGTTGAATATTTGTCTGTGTTATTACATGATGATCCCGTTTGTTGTCCACAGCTTTGTAAGAACGCCATGCCTGATCTGATGGCGAGGCCTTTAATCCCAGGAGGATCTGAAGGAAGAGGCAGCTGCCTGGAAGCCTCCATGTCTGATCCAAGAAATCCGGTGATAGGAATCCTGGGTACGGGTGATTTCTCCCGCTCTCTGGCCAAGCGGCTGATGGCCGCCGGCTACCAGGTGGTGGTGGGGAGTCGGACCCCCAAGCGATTTGTGGCTTTGTTCCCAGAGGAGGCTGAGGTGATTCACACTTCATTACGTTGTAATTGGTGTTTATGTTTTCATCCTTCTGGAGATAATTACATATTCTTTTGACTTTTCCCCATCAGTGATAATAACTGTTGTTCTGATCCATAATATTTACACGTGATTGTACTTCAAAGTAAAAATCAGCTTCTGTAAGAGAAGGTTTTTTTTAGAGTTTTGTTTAAATAGTGTCAAATGGTGAAAAAGTGTCACACTATAAAGGAAGCTTGAATAAAACGATTTGATTTCAAAGTGACCAAGTCCAACTTCCCGTCTTCTAGGTGACAACCCAGATGGAGGCAGCCAGCCAGGCGGATCTGGTTTTTGTTGCGGTCTATCCGGAGCACCATTCCACGCTGGTGTCGCTGAAAGCAACACTGGCTGGTAAAACTTTAGTGGATGTTAGTAATGGTTTGCGACTCAACAGAGATGGGCCGTCCAATGCTGAACTACTGGCGGACTATTTCCCGGAGAGCGTTGTAGTCAAAGGGTTTAACACCATCTCAGCCTGGACGCTCCAAATGGGCCCTCGAGATGGAAACAGACAGGTACCAAACAACAGGTAGATAAAAATTAGATTCTTGAGCATCTTTGACAACATTTCTTCTTCCTGCAGGTTTTCCTGTGTGGCAACAGTCAGAAGGCCAAGGACTCGGTGAAACAAGTCTGTTGCCGAATGGGTTTTATCCCTGTTGATATGGGTCTCCTTTCTTCTTCTCTGGAGATTGAAAACCTCCCTCTTTATCTGTTTCCCTCCTGGCGCATCCCCATCCTCTGCACCTTGTCCCTGTTTGCATTTTTCTACATCTACAACTTCACGCAGGACGTCTTACACCCGTACATCACATCCAGGAAGAATGCTTTCTACAAAATGCCCATTGACACTGTGAACCTCACCCTTCCGTCGGTGGCCTTGGTGATGTTGTCGTTAGTTTACCTGCCCGGTTTGTGTGCTGCCTTCCGCCAACTGTGCTCAGGCACGAAGTACAAGCGCTTCCCCAACTGGCTGGACTGCTGGCTGACCACGAGGAAGCAGTTTGGGCTCTGCAGCTTCCTTTGTGCGGTTCTTCACGCCATTTACAGCTTGTGCCTCCCACTAAGGAAGTCTGCTCGCTTCAAACTGATCAACATGGCTTATAAACAGGTTAGACAAGAGATGCTTTTACATTTGGTGGGCCTTGCTATTTAAATTCTGTCTCAAAGAATTAACTTTCTGTTTGGCTTTTTTAAAATGTTTAAAGGGACTTTACGGACTTTTGAATTTTTATGCTCGTGATTGCCCCCTCAGGCCAAAAGCGTAACGGCAGCTTCAATAGTAGGCTCGTGCACGGGGTGCGCATGCTGTACGTGCACACTCCTTGACGAAAATTACAGCTGAGACAGTCCCGTGTGTGTGTGTGTGTGTGTGTGTGTGTGTGTGTGTGTGTGTGTGTGTGTGTGTGGCCCAGAGGACAGGAGAACATGCAGCCAATTAATAAAATAATTTGGTTCTGTACCTTTCTCTTCAGCACAGCCGACAAAGGTTCATGATGGGTCAGTCCTCCTGCATGCTCAGATCATTCCCTTCCCTTGCTTGAAAAATTGTTCCAAAATGAAAGTTAAACCCACATCTTTTTATCTGTGAATTCAATGCCGTTCGGTGAGTCTCAAATAAAAATTTGGGCATCTTACTGTAAAAAAATATATTATTAATGTAAAAAAGAAACTCTAATGAACTATGTTCACATCCAGAATTGAACCCAGGTCTTCTGCATGAGAGTCAGACGTCTTACAAGGTGAACTACACTCTAGTAACATTCACCGTGTCTGTAACTTTTATATCCTTGATGACAGCTGAAACAACGTCAATCTAAAGAACGGTTTGGAGCGAAAATGGCTATTTTGTTGCTAATATGCAGGAAATATCTAGAAGAAAGTTCTACAGAAAGTAGCTAAGGGTCCTCAGAAATGTAGCTAGCTTTGTCACTAGGCGTTAGGAACAGCGACAAAGTGGCACTGCCTCACTCTCTGCTGCTAAAGCTACTGATAGCAAACGCTACGGGCGATGCCTGAGCGTGAACACGCATGAAGCAGCCGGCTCGACCCGAGCATCTCTCTTTTTCTGTGATTTTACAGAAAAACAGGCAATCACAGTAAAAATGCCAGGGCTCATTCTACAGGACCAGGGCGTTGCAGGAGAATGTATGAAGAAGACATTTATTATTTCTATACATGCTTTGGTTGTCAAACTTCCATGATGTCCCTTTAATCAGTTGCAGTGTAAAACAAAAAACATTTAAAAGTGCATCCTAGCTGCTTCACACTCGGCTGCGAACCGCTCCAGCCAAAGCAGGAGATCTGATTCTTAGGCCACCGTAACGAATCCCCACAACACCTTGGCTGGGCCTAGCAATCCTGTCCATAAAAGTTATGAACAGAATCTGTGACAAAGGGAAGCCTTGGCGGAGTCCAACTCTCACTGGTAATGAGTCTGACTTTCTGCCGGCAATGCGGACCAAGCTCTGACACCGGACAGGGACCTAATGGCGCTTACACATTAGCGTCGGCACGGCCCCAAAAGGTATCGAACAGCACCCGAATTTGGTTTCACACACACGTCAGATTAGCGTTTTTGGTGCTGAGGCGACTCATGTCCGCCTTTTGTTTACCTTATGGAGCGGACTTTCCCACGCGTATTAAACTCCGCCCACAGGCTCGGGGATTTCCGCATTCCTGAGAAATCACTTGGATTTATATGTGAACACTACACCGCCCGTTCGAGACCGAACTCACGCCATCCAACATGACTGAACCCCGACCGTGCCGATGCTAATGTGTAAGGACCATAACAGCCTGTATGAAAGAGCCTGGTACCCCATAGTCCCGGAGTAAACCCCACAGGGCCCCCCGGGGAACGCGATCGAATGCCTTCTCCAAATCCACAAAACGCATCTAGATTGGTTGGGCAAACTCCCACACACACTCCTGGATCCCTCTAAGAGCTGATCCAGTGTTCCACGGCCATTATCGCACCGCGTTGGGCCAAACATGTGATGTCAGAAGGTCTTTGTTCACTGATTGGCTGTACTTCTTCAGAGTGCTCTGCCTTGCCAAGGTCTGGCAAAAAGCCAATTACTGAGCAGAATGCTCAGCATCATTACCATGTCCTCCATTGTTGAGTCGGGTTGAGCTTGAAAACTCAGACAGACCACCTGACTCTAATTTCCAAATTCTGAGGGCTGCCTTGCTGAGCTGAGTCCACTTACTAGATCTGTTTCTCCATGTTATGGAAAACTATCTAAACCGTGTAGAACAGAGCCTAGTAGAACCATGATGAGTAGCCTGCAGTGGTAAAGGCACATAAATGGGTAACCAAATGATTCAAAGCAGTAATTGTCCAATGGATAAAGTGACAGTCCAACTGATCAACCATATGGACTGAAACGTCAACCATTCCATTCCATTTTATGTATAAAGCACATTTCTACACGGCCGAGGCCAGCCAATGTGCTACACAGTAAAAGAGCTTAAAGGTCACCACACGGGAAGAAAGTAATAAAAGTAGTACAGTAACTACTATAAAATCAACAATAAAAATAAAACAGAGACATAGTACAATGCTAACTAGGCTGAAATACCATATTTTCCGGACTATAAGTCGCACCTGGCATAAAATGTATAAGGAAGAAGAAACAAACATATAAGTCACATTTTGGGGGGAAATTTTATTATTTTTCTTACAAAATCTGAGACCATACCATAGCATAGTTTATTTATATAGCACGTTTAAAACGTAGCATGGGAGCTGCCCAAAGTGCTGCACAGGCTAAAACAAAACGCGACCATTCTAAGGAACTACAACAGACGATAAAAATACCAGTCAAAAGCAGATAAAACTTGATGAATACTAAGAACACATTAAAACAATAAAACACTAAAACGTGTCACTGTCTAAAAGCCAAATCGTAAAAGTGGGTCTTTAAACGAGATTTAAGAACCGCCAGTGGTGGAGCCTGCCAAACTCCAATGGGCAACGAGTTCCACAGCTTTGGAGCAGCATGCACAAATGCTCGTTCACCCCGCGATTTGTATCGCATCCGCGGCGTACACAGCAGCAAAAGGTCAGCCGACCTCAACGTGCGCGTGGGTACATATGGAGTGAGCAGTCAGAGAGATAGGGAGGTGCCAGGTCGTTGACCAAGCATTTCACATTGCAAGACAAGTACCGGTAACAATAACCGAATAAACAATCAGGCGGCAGCAGCACACCACGGTCTCCAGCAGAGGATGGCGGTGTTTGAAACCCTCCCGGCGGGACAGGGGAGCTTATTTCTGGGTCGGAGCCGCCTGGCCCGCAGCAGCACGCCACGGTCTCTAGCAGAGGATGGCCGGGCAGAGGAGCTGAAACCTGGTCCGGAGCCGGTCCGCAGCAGGGCGGTATACATAATTTAGTACATAAGTCGCTCCGGAGTATAAGTTGCAGGGCCAGCCAGACTATGAAAAAAAAATGCAACTTATAGTCCGGAAAATACGGTAAAAGCCAAGGAATAAAAATCAGCTTTCAGGCGTGATTTAAAAATCCGAGAGAGAGAGGGCCATTCTCACTGCTAGAGGGAGTTGGTTCCAGAGACGAGGCGCACAGATTCAGAACGCTCGTTCTCCTCGTGTCCTCACCCGAACACTTGGGACCTGTAAGAGGCGGTGGTCTGCTGCCCGAAGAGTTCGACCAGGTACGTAGGGCTGAACCAGCTGAGTCAAGTACAGAGGCGCATAAAGAAAGAGTGACTTAAAAACAAGAAGTACACTTTTAAACTGGATGTGGTAGCACAGCTGGTCGTATGACCAATGACTTGTCCATCAGTTTTATGTGCAGACAGAAAGTTATTAACAGCCTAATTTATGGTCTAAATATTTGTCCAACTCTCCACAGAACAATCGAATAACTTCAACTGAAACTTTTACCAAAGGAATATTAGTTGCAACTAATTAGTCCACCGAATTATCTGCCAAGTGGATTAGCAATCATCCAGTTGATCAAATTATTGAACGAAGACCCATCCAAATAATTCAACGACTACTTAATCAGCCGGCTTTTTTTAAACACCGGTGTCTTATTCAGCAAAGCAGTCGTCTAGCTGATGATTGGCTTGACCAAACAAAACGTTCATGTAATTAGGCAACCAACTAAGTTATTGAGCAATTATTTGACAGAACAGATAATCAAAGGACAGATTAATCGACAAATGTTTTGCCACTTTTAAATTAACCCCTTTTCAGCCATGTCTGTAAATACCTAAAAGATTACCAAGCAGGAAGAACAGAACGAGACGCCCTTGATGATGAGATGACGCATCTCAAGGTTATCCTTCTAATAAATTTCAAATGTCAATGGTAGACGTGCTGAGGCTACAGTGGAGCGTGGCTAGACCGACCTGCAGAGCATCGTCTTTTGCTGCTACTCTGATTGGTCCAGGCCGGTAATAAACATTTCAGGTGTTTTCAAGGGTTGATAAATGAAGATTTATTGAAATCCAACCTGCAGGACCTCATTTGGGAAGCAGGAGGATAGAGGGATGTGCCGATGCCTGATTGATGGTCAACCAGGCCCAGACTAGAGTCTGTGTGAAGCGTCGAAGGATCGGGTCACGCCGTGAAATGCAGCCCAAGTCCCCCGCCTTACCTCAGCTCCCTACGTTAGATTTCTAAAACTCTGCATTGACTCTAGAAAGACACGTGTTGGTTTACTTTTTGGTGTGTGTGTGTGTGTGTGTGTGTGTGTGTGTGTGTAGGTGAAGATGGGGGTGGAGGACTCGTGGGTGGATGAGGAGGTGTGGAGGATGGAGCTGTACCTGTCTGTGGGAATCATGGCCCTTGGGCTGCTCTCCCTGCTGGCTGTCACCTCTCTGCCTTCAGTGGCCAACTCCATCAACTGGAGGGAGTTTAGCTTCATACAGGTAAGCCCCCCACCCCATCCTCTATCTACACACACACACACACACACACACACACACACACACACACACACACACACACACACACACACACACACACACACACACACACACACACACACACGTTATGCTTATGGGGCAAAGCAGGACAGGAGTGAAGGAGGCAGACAGGTGTCCCGCTGATGTCCTCTCAGAGACGTCTCTTGCAGTCACACACATTGCTGCCCCAGATTCACGGCTAAACTCGTGCTGTGACAAAGCCTCCAAAGCGCCGTGACTCAGTGCACACGTACTTCCTCCTCTTCTTTTACCCCTCCCTCCCACCGCTGCCGCGGGTCCTGCAGGACTTTCAGTCTGATTTAGCTGCTTTTTTCCACTTTCATCTCACAGTAATCCATCGGCCGTCAGATTAGTCATGTGCCGACAGCCGGGGCGAGGAGAGGCAAGTTTCTGCTTGGTTCATCTACACTTGGTGGCCAGAGCTGCAGGAGTGTGTGTGTGTGTGTGTGTGTGTGTGTGTGTGTGTGTGTGTGTGTGTGTGTGTGTGTGTGTGTGTGTGTGTGTGTGTGTGTGTGTGTGTGTGTGTGTGTGTGTGTGTGTGTGTGTGTGTGTGTGTGTGTGTGTGTGTGTGTGTGTCTTTGTTTTCAAGCCTCTATCATTTGACCTACACGTTCTGAATGAAAACACGAAACTCCTTCATAACAAGTTAAACACGTAAAATCACTTCCACCTCTCCTCTGAAAGAATGGTATGTTTGTTTATGTTTATGTTTATTTATTTGGCAGACGCTTTTATCCAAAGGGACTTACAATTTATAACCTATAGTGCAAGTTGTGATCTGTGGGGGAAACCGGAGTACCCGGAGGAAACCCACGCATGCATGGGGAGAACACGCAACTCCACGCAGAAAGGCTGCAGCCGAGTTTCGAACCTGCAACCTTCGTGCTGCGAGGCAACAGTGCTAACCACTGCGCCACCATGCAGCCCATGCAGTACCAGTTTACACTGGTACTGTTGCTGATACGGGTGCTGGTGCTGGTATTGGTGCTGGTACTGGAGCTGTTGGTATTGGTGCTGGTACTGGTGCTGGTACTGGTACTGGTATTGGTGCTGGTACTGGTATTGGTATTGGTATTGGTGCTGGTACTGGTACTGGTATTGGTGCTGGTACTGGTATTGGTATTGGTATTGGTGCTAGTACTGGTGCTGGTATTGGTTCTGGTATTGGTGCTGGGGCTGGGGCTGGTATTGGTACTGGTACTGGTATTGGTACTGGTGCTGGTATTGGTACTGGGGCTGGTATTGGTACTGGTACTGGTATTGGTACTGGGGCTGGTATTGGTACTGGTACTGGTATTGGTTAGGGCTGCAACAACGAATCGATAAATTCGATGAAAATCGATTACTAAAAGCGTTGGCAACGAATTGCGTCATCGATTCGTTGTGTCGCACAACTCTTCCAAAAGCGCCCCCCCTTCCCGCCCGCCGTTGCGCACAGACCAGAGCAAGTCAGATCAGCGCGAGGGAGAGCCGCAGATCAGCGTGAGGGAGAGCCGGTACCGGCAGATCAGCGCGAGGGAGAGCCGCAGATCAGCGTGAGGGAGAGCCGGTACCGGCAGATCAGCGCGAGGGAGAGCCGGCAGACTTGCGCTGCTGCGAACCGGTTCCGCATTGTTGCACAGCGATCCAGGCAGCTGCTTCCAGCGCACGGTCCATTCTCAAAGTGGCGCAACCAAAAAACTATAATTAGCACACGATCGTTCATGTCCGCACATGTTCTCTATTTTCTGTCTTATTTGTGCCTGAAGCTCGCTACTGCGGAGCTCATCACCTGTGCTGTGGTGATGTCACCTCACGCTGCATCGAAAACGCGCTCTGCGCTTTTCGGTCAGGAGATCCCTTTGACCTGCTCAAAAGTAACTGATGAGGTGAAAAGGTAAGAATCCAGGCAACAGATTTTCTGGAGAATTAAGAGGAGATGCAGGAAGATGAGAGACAGACAGGACAGGAAAATAGTTCAATAAAAACAAGAAAACAAAACAAAGTGTTGAAAAGTAAAATGTAGGTAGATTTATCTCCACGACACGTTTTTACCAGTAAAAAACAATAAGTTATACACATGTAATATTTATACATCTGATACAATTCAGATCACCTTCAAAACTCAGTCACACACCCAGGGCCGTTTCAAGACATTTTGGGGGCCAAGGCAAAATGCCCCCCCCCCCCCCATTACTGGCATGTTCTAATATTATCAGATGAAAAACTAAATTATCAGACATGCTGTCTCATCTGCTTCTTTTTTAAACTTGCAAAAAGTAACAAAACCATTTGAAAGCCACTATTTGTGGATTCTCTGAAAGTTTCCATGGAGTGTGTGACAACTTATTTTTTCATTGATCCTATCGTCTAATCTCACAGCTGAAACAAGCATCCTTAATAATCTGTGCACAGGAAGCTTACCGATGCTGTAGTAAAACAAAAGGTATAATAATTTATTATTAATAAAACCTTGTTGCAGCACTAAAGCAGAAAAATTAGATTTTGCATTAAATATGCAAAATATTTACATATGAATTGTTTTAGAGCCCTTTAATTGGCAGAATCTGATATTAATTTAGTTCTTACAAAAAATGGGTCCCAACATGGTTTGTGTGGCGTTGCCATAGAGTGACGTCATAGGCACAGATCCCCTGTCCTCTTGTTTGGAAATGGAAATATGGTCACCCTACATTAAACAAACTGTCCACCCGGGCTTTTGCACTGCACAGAGACGCTTCGCTGCCTATGACTGAATGTCAGTTGAGAGTCAGTCTCATGCAGACTGACCAATGAAGAGAGGGCCTCAAGTTAAGACCCTCTCCTCATTGGTCAGTCCACACGAGGTGGGTCAAAGGTTACTCTGGGCGGGTTACGTGTTGTCAGGCATTCAAGTATTGAGTATATTTACTGCATATTACAGTAAAATATTCTGTATGTGACCACATTATGGTGATCCTTGGGTCGTGATGATGGAGCCCTTGAATATTGTTGCCCAGGGTACAACAAAGTGTTAATCTGGCCCTGGTTCCGCCGTCACATTCCCGCAGAAACTGGTTGATCACACCGGGGCCAGACTACTAGCATGTGGTTTTACAACCACAATGTCCTCAGAAGCAAAAACGCTTTTCAAAGGGAGGGAGGAGTCCTAACTGTTGCTGCAGGCGTGTTGTGTGAGAGTGCAGTTATTTACTGGTTAATATATTTTTGGGTTCAGTTGCTTTCATGTGGCCTAATGTGAGTCTATTTGGGATCATTGGAATGATCAGCAGCATTTCTTGATGTGACTTTATGGCAGTTGCCCAGGGTATCATCGCAAGGAGGATGGCATTCATTTACTTTTGTTTTATTTGGTATTTTTTCAGTCATTTTTGGAAATAGTGATCAATTTTGATTAATTCACAGCCTATGTTTAATTACATTTAAAATAAATGTCAACAGATGAGATCAAACAAAACAGATGAGAATTGCCCTTAAGCTGTTTAACTTGGACCAAGCATTTTAGGTCACAGATAGATGTAGCTTAGGGTCTCTGTCTATACACCTTATAAGACAATTTAGGTGATGGCATGTTGTTTTTCTGTTATTGAACTGTTTTCTAATAATGTTGTGTTAAATAAAGTGAAGGAAGGAGAGAAATAACGTTTCCCTAGCAGTTTTTAAAAATTTCCCCATGTAATCCGATTAATCGATTAATCGTGTCGAGACCCCATCTGATTAATCAATTATCCAAATAATCGTTTGTTGCAGCCCTAGTATTGGTATTGGTATTGGTGTTGGTACTGGTATTGGTACTGGCATTGGTATTGGTGCTGGTACTGGTATTGGTGCCGGGGCTGGTAATGGTTCTGGTATTGGTGCTGGTACTGGTATTGGTACTGGGGCTGGTATTGGTACTGGGGCTGGTACTGGTATTGGTGCTGGTACTGGTATTGGTACTGGGGCTGGTATTGGTACTGGGGCTGGTGCTGTTACTGGTACTGGTATTTGTGCTGGTGCTGGTATTGGTGCTGGTGCTGGTACTGGTATTGGTGCTGGTGCTGGTACTGGTGCTGGTACTTATCGTAAATATTAAAAAGAAACCTCTTCAGTTTCCTTCTGTGGTGTTTGTTCACATTGAGCCAGGACACATTTGCATTTGAAATGTCATCAGAAGTTGCCCCGTAGACTCGGAACGCCTGAACGTGACCCGAGGAAACTCATCTGGGTGCACTGGATCATACTGGATGGGATTACCCAGCATGCACATTATTACCAGACATTAAAAAGCCTCTGAGACCCAATCCCAACACTCGCACTTGCGTTCCTGGCCAGGGGTGCGAGTGCGTAGGGTGTCCCGATTCTCAAGTGTGGCAGTTGACCACGCCCCCCATTGCACCCTTAATCTGCACTTCACCCAAGTCCGCAGCAATGTGCGCCTCGGGAAAGAGTATTACCCACAAGCCATTGCTGCAGGAGAAAAGGCTCAAGTTCCTTTTCTGAAAATATGTATTTTCTAATTAAATTAGTACATTTTAGTGTGATTAGTTGATGCTCTAAAACTTTTAGACAAAGCAGCAATAAATGTACATTTATTTCAAATCACTGTTTGTTTAAAAGTTGTTCATAAAGATTTTTGAAAAAAGTATAACGGTGTCTAGCATTCCGGCATGCTCCCCGTGATCGATCACGCAATGCTCCCCGTCTCAATTCTGCAATTACTTGCACACTTTGTGTACTACGCACTCGAAGCCTCACAGCGCACTTTCTCCAAGTGCACTTAGCTGAAGTCCGCAGGGCGCAGCGTGAGTATTGAGATTGGGCCTTAGGTTCAATGCCTTCTATCCACATTTGGACCAAATTACCCATGGGAACAGTAATGTTTCTTTAGCACCTTATTGGTTCTCCTACTGTTTAATCCAGCATCTACATGGTCTAGGAATGTTCCAGCAACTTGGAGACAAATGATTGTAAGAAAATGACCGAAAGTCAGGCACCATTTAAATTTCCATAAGTGCAAGAAAGTTTTGCTAGCTTTCGAAGGGTTCAGCCATCAAATCCTCACCAATTTGATACATAATTAATTAATTGGAGCTTCATTATAACAAGAACATTTGCATCGAGGGTCAAAAGGCAGTCATCTCATCCAGGGTGGGGACCGCCAATGTTTCTGCTTTGGTCTGCCGTCTGATCTACCACGCAGTTTAGGGGGGCCGTCAGTCTAGCCTAGGGCTGAGTGATCGATCGTTTTCTGATTGCATTTTCAAACAATGCCATCATGTGATCATCAAAGCTGCATTTTGGGGGATTTTTTTTATTTGCAGTGCTCCTGACTGACGACACAAACCTTTTCAGAGTTACGGTAATTCAAAGTGAGAATGGGAACTGTCAGCGTTCAGTGTTCGAGTGGTGCTTTTGTGAGAAAAGCGTCCGGACTGCGTACAACAGCGTCCAGCCTTGCCCCTAGGTGGCTTTACATCTAGTAACCTCACAGGTTGGAGACTGTTTTCCTCTTGATAAAGGGTTTTCTGAACTGCTTTTAGTCCCTTTTTCGTTAACACCAACTCAACTCGGCCCAGCTCTACTCTACGTGGTTTTGGGTGGTTCTACATTACAGTTGATAAAAAGCTCCGGTGTATGGGCTTGTCATAACTGGGTGGCCCCTAGAGTTTGATAAGTAGTGCGAGTTGATCTGTACACAATCCAAGAATATGGCAGTAGGTGTCATGATATGCTAATTAGACGAGGTAGTTACATCCAGTACACAGCGGATTACTCTCATGTGGCTCATAGATTTATCATTATTGTCAGAACACTCTGGTCCGTGTAGTCGACAGTAAGTCGGACTCGTTCCTGAGAGTAGTTTGACCCATCAGACCTGCCTTTCGTCACCTGGTTCTTCAAACGTGGAGGATTTTTCATCTGGTGGCTGGAAGATCTCGTCTCAGCATTTTTGCTGATGGTGTGGTCCATTTTTTCTTTTTATTGAACTTCGAACATTAGAAGCTGATGATCAATAACCTAAAAAAGACCGTAGTGAGCTCCAGTCAGATGGTAAACCGGTGTTCTTGGAATTTCTCCTACCCCGTAAACCGTCCTACCCGTTGTTCCTGAGCATGTGTGCGCATGCGCACAACACAAAAAGGGAATGCTACTCCGTTGTCATATTTGCAGGAAAATAGGTAAGTAGTAAGTATTAGTTCTTTTTATTGACGTTGATACTTGATTTTTTGGGTTAGGGTTAGGGTTTGCGTCATGTAAAACACCCTAAAATTATCCTACGGGTAGGACGTTTTGCCAACGTAGGACGTTTTGTCAGAACACCGGAACATTTTCATTTAACAACAAACTGAATAATGTTATAGATTCTTTATCGTTGCCATTACAGGGTATCCGCGGGTCCTTAAAAAGTCTTAAAAAGTCTTAAATTAGCTTTTCCTAATTTAAGGCCTTAAAAGTCCTTTAAAAGGACAAATAATCCTTAAATCCAGTTTCCAAAGGTCTTAAATGACCAAAGACCCAATAAACAAGATTCTTTTATTTCTATAAAAATTTCGTGAATCTCTAGTTAGTGTTCAGCATTTTTTGTGTACGATGTTGGCGTAAGCGGAACCGTACGCAGTCGGTTGGTTGTGAAAGGGGGCTATTTTTTTAGATGAGCACATTAGCTGGTTAAGCTAGTGGGAGCTTGCGCCATGGGGAAGGGCAAGTTTAATGGTAACTGGATGGCTAATCCCACGTTCGCGACGTGGTTAGCACCGGCTCCAGGCAATAGCTGGAAATTATCGCTTAAATTTAATTTTTAAAATAGCTTAAATTTGGTCAAAGTGGCCTTAAAAAAGGTCTTAAAAAGTCTTGAATTTGGCTCCCTTAAATCTGCAGCTACCCTGCATTAATCAGCATGTTTGAGACATGAGCAATAAAACGTGTTACTCTGGCCGGCTGCTCAGGCTTGTGCCTGAAGGAAGGAAGGCGTGTGGATAAGGCCATCGGCTGGATGATGGAGATCTGTCGTTTAGGTCCCCCAGAGAAGCAGATCAGACCAAGTTTTGCTTTTCGACTGCTTCAGAGAACCAGACTGTTAAAGCATTACTGTGGGATCGTCAGTTTTTTTATACCACCAGGGAACTCTTAAAACTTCTAATTAATCTGCCTGGTGATCTAAGAGTCCTTCAAGTGCCGTGCCGAGGCGTAGTCATTCCAGTGAAGTAGGAATGTTTCACGTCGCCGTCGGCCTCATGTGGTGATCTGTGGCCCCTGCAGTCATGTGACTCACTCCGGGAAACCCCATCAGGGTTTCTTCAGGTCAGGACTGGTGGGTCAGTGTGTCTCCTAAGGGTCTGCTGTGGCCTCCAACACCGCCCGCCAATGTTTGCTGACTCTTCTCTCCTGTTTTTATTAATGCGTCAGACATTTAGAGGGCAGTCTGGTGTTACTGCTTTCTAAAGCCTTTTTCTCTGATGTTCTACAGTCTTCTCTTGGTTACTGTGCCCTGTCCATGGCAACCGCCCACACACTCATCTACGGGTGGAACCGTGCCTTCGATGCGTCCCAGTATCACTTCTACATGCCTCCCAACTTCATCCTGGTCCTGGTGCTTCCCATCGTGGTCCTACTGGGCCGCCTGGCGCTCTTCCTGCCTTGTGTGGCTGGGCGGCTCAGACGGATCCGGCGCGGCTGGGAGAGCTGCCGACAGATCCGCTTCATGCTGCCGGGGGAGGAGTACCGTAACGGGATGGAGGACATCAGTAACGTGTAAGAAGCTCTGGTGTTGGTAGTGTGCACCAAACCCCAGACACGATTTAAATATCAGCACAGAGACAATCAAATATTTATATTCTGCTTATTAGAAGGCGAGTCCTCAGATGTTCAACTATTAGACGTCGTTTCAGACTTGTGTGTAGTTCATAGTTTCTCGAATCCAGCACTAAACCAGCTTTAGTTCTGCTCATGTAACCGTTACACTCCAAGATCCCGTCTTGCAATCGTAGAAACTATTTGCTGCAGGTTTTTGTGACATTGTTTGACTTTCTGATGCACTATTGTGAACGATCAAAGCCTTTCCTTAAAGAGCACTTGATGAAACTTTTATTTTCTTCAGACTTCAGTATCAGTGAGTTGAAGAACTTGCCCCCAACCCCCTTAAATACCAAACTCTTGTTACGGGGAAGCACTTATACTACCAGTACCACCGTCAATGCAACGGCCAAAGGAAGCTACTTGTCCCAAAGATCTTGTCAGCCTAAATTAAAATGTGTTGAAGCTACAAAAAAGAAGAAAAACAACCCCTTGCCCTTTACACCAATGAAAAACACTTTTATGTGCAAATGACAATAAATGTGTTGGTCCAGATTTCGAGTCAGTGCCAATGTTTCTAGGTTTGTTGTACAGGCTAATCCAAAGAAACCCATACAATATTTCTGGAAGTTGTCGATCTGTTCCTTCTAGCATGGTTTTAGCACTTCATGGATAAGGACAAACATCTGATTGGTTTATTTGTATGGCTGCTTGGTAATGGTGCTTTCAAAGGAATGAAGAAAGGATTCCATTCAACTTTTCTTTGGGTGCGTTTCTAGAAACACTCTTCTTCTGTTACCATCCATCCATCCATCTTCTGAACCCGCTTAGTCAATGTATGGTCGCAGGGTCTGGTGCCTATCTCCAGCAGTCAACGGGCAATTAGGCGGGGTACACCCTGGACAGAGAGCCAGTCCATCGCAGCTTCTTCTGTTACCTTTTCACTTAATTATTTGTCCTTTTGAAGTTGTTTATTCTAAACAACTAAGTTAATATATATTTATGTTTACTAATATCTGTTTAAAAGAGCAATAGTCTAAAAAACAGTTGATGTTTGAATCACTGTCTTTATTTAATCCATGCTGCAGTTACCAGTTTGGACCAGCAGGTGCCAGTTTCACCACTTCTTGACACTAAAAATGTAAACTAGTTTTAAAAGAAGTGACTTATCATACTAGAACTATTTATAAGTTGTTGTAGATATTCTAATAAGCTGTGATTTGTCTCATTGCCTAAATGTGGCCAGACCATCTATTTAGTTCCAATTATGGAAGATAAAAAAACGGGAAGAACCGCTAAATAGAATGTGAAGGGTTATAATACAATGTTAACATAGATTTAACATTTATATTAAACCAGGTAGGATTAAAAGTCAAGGTTTGGTTAGAACGGCCGCCGCTAATCACAAACGCTCACTAATAATTTATAAACCGTCCCTTTTGTGTTTATTTAGGTATCAGATCTGCTGATGTTTGGCTGGAATCATGTTCCTCGTGAATGTTTTGGTTTAACTTTTTTCTTAGTGGGCTGTTAAATCATCTCGATTGTTTCGTTGCCAGAAACTGTTTTCAGCTACTTGTTAGACGTGTGTTCTGAATGAAAATGCATTTCAGTGGAAGGGTGAGCATCAACAGATGTAAAGATTTTCTTTGGAAAGTGTCGAAATAAAGAACATTTTTACAACAGTTTGGTTTCTGCTGAATTCGATATATAATCTCTAAATGAAGTAGAGGCTAATCTGTTCATGCTCCTGTTTAATCTCACTAATGACCCGTTAATCCCAGTTTAAATGAACTCACTAAATTAGTGAATGCTGCCATCTGCTGGTGTTTTAGTGTAACAACAGGATAAAGCTTCAGGCAACGTGAGTAAAAATGTTGACAAAATAATTTAAAAATCATATATTATTTTTTACAGCTGTACAATTTACATTTATATCTCAACCTAATGGAGTAAAATAGGTGCAGGTCATTAAAAAAGAAGAAAAGTTTATTTCTCTGTAAAAACAAAAAAGTGAATTACAAATGTAAGAATGGGAGTAGTTTTCATGTTCTTTTAGGACAAAAACAGCCCAAAATGTGTTTTACTTATACTTTCAGAGGATGAAAGCCACTTTGTTTTTCGTGAGTGCAACGAGAATAATAAAAGGTAACATAACCACATCATGTACCTATTTAACTGAACAGCAGTTTTGAACGTGAAACCATGAAATGCATTAAGTGCTAGTGGAGTTTCTCTCATCACTGATAAGTGAATGTCCCATGTTACATTAGAATTCACTCAGATTGGAGGATGTTCCAGAGTTCTGCACAGCATGAAAAATGCCATAAAAGTGGGCGTTGCCAGGAGGCACAGAGTGGCATGGCCAAGTGTGGAGAATTTCCATCCTGGGAGGGAGGGGGAGTGGGAGGAGACTGTACCGATGACGTGAAATTGTCCCAGCCCCGGCCAATCACAAGTTGAAAATGCAGTAGCCGCTGTTCTGCCACAGGGGGCAGCACTGAGGCGTTTTTAGACCTAGATTCTAGATGTAATCAAGTTTATACAAACATGTCAAAAATATGCACAGAAACAGAAAGATTGCATTTGTAAAGAACCGATTACACAGTTAATTAGCAAAAACATGTTATTTTGGGGTTTAGTTACTCTTTAAGGTCAAACATTCTGCCAGAGAGAATACGTGGCTCCATCAGTAACCGCAAGTGGCCCGCGCCCTAACACAACCCCAGACCATTACACTACCACCACCATGTTTGACTGAAGTTTAGCTTTAAAAATCTGCCATCATGCCATTTTTGTCTCCCATCTCTGTCCCGTTGTTCATTTATGACCCCTGACCTTCATGAACAGAGCTCTGCAGTACTTTGGATGTCATAGTTTTGCTTGTTGTACGCAGTCGAGTCTGTGCCCGGATCACACTGTGATTTTTGGCTGTCGCACAGGATTGTTCATGTCATGCTGTGAGAACTCCAGAAAGGTGGCAGACCGCATGACGTCTCGCTCCTGCAGGACACGCAACGTCATGAGCACACCTCCTGAAAGCATACGTCAGCAGACCGCTAACCCAAACACATCTGAAAAGATCAAATAAAGTGTTGTCGTTAGCACTTCTTTTTAGCGTCAGCATCATGAACCAGCTCATCATCTTCAAAGAGGACGCATCATTTTAAAAACCCTCGCTTTGGCCTCGGGCCAGGGGCGGATTAAGGACTGAAGAACATCCGGGGCTTAACACACGCGCATGCTCACACACACACACACACACACACACACGTGACACGCACTAGTCAACATCATATATATGACTTGTACCACATAATTTTTAATCTGAAGCTACATATTAAGCATATTCAGGGCAGAGTATTGTTCCTGTTAGTGTTTAGTGTGAGATGATGGTAAATATTCCCTTTCTTTCTCCAACAACTTTACCTGATAGTAAGCTAACTTTAGGCAAACCAGCAGCACAACAAATATTTTCAAATAAGACTCACAAACCTGAGTCAACACCAGTCTCATCAAAGCTGGGGTTCTGTCGCGGTACTTTTGGTCTAAAAAACGTCCTTATGTCCGTCTTCACTTGTGCCTTTCAGGCAGAGACTATAGAAGAAGTCGACTGCTGAAGGACTTCTTCTTCAGTGGTGGAGGCTCAGGCAGGCTGTATACAAACTACTGCCAGCTGCTCCCTCTCTGTTGGACTTTGGTACTGCATGTTACTTCCGCGATTTAGATCCGGGGCTTTCTATGAAACATCCGGGGCTTCAGCCCAAGTAGCCGGGCCTAACGCCGCCCCTGCCTCGGACTCCGGCTGCATCCTTTTGCCGCCTTCCAGATAAACAGCTGAACTGTCTGTTGGACATTCATCCTTCTGATCCTCCCTAATAAATAAAAACCCACTAACCCACCGTCACAGAAATCTGTCACAGATCGCTGCAATGTCTAAACTTTTGCCGTGAATTGTGTCTCACTGTTAACCCCGCATCTCCGCTGCGTGAGCTCGTCACACCTGCTGACACGGAGCTTCCTACGGGACATTAGGCACCTCCTCGGCTGCAGGAAGAGACGCCCGGCCTGGACTCTGGACGGGGAACCAGAAACGTTCCCATCAGGTGTAAAACCTGAAAGTGGTGACCTACAATTTACTTGAAAAACACAGTTTTAAAAGACTTTTGTTGTTACATTTTGCACAAAATCTGATAAAGGCAAGCATTTTTAGAGGAGCAGAATGTGTGGTTGCATGTTGAAATAGTTAGCAATCATTTATTTTTAAAATTTAATGATTTAAATTACATGTTATTTAATAAGCCATATGGCGTAGGATTCCATAGGAAATATGAAATCAGCCTTCGGATCTGTGAGGTTATTTTAAACCAGATTGGGACTTTTTATTGCAGGGATTAGATTACAGCTTTGTATTCACTCAGAGACAACAGAAGAGAGAGAGTCAAGTTTAAAAGTTTAAAGAGTTATTACTAAACAAATTAAACTAGATTAACTTTAACACTAAATGTATGGTGTAACTAAGGTGGATGAGATGGAGAACGGTGTGATGTGGAATGTTGTTCAGAACCAGCAAATCCGAAGAAACGATTGGTTCTGATGGAAAATGAAGGTGATGTCTTCGCGTTAAGCTTTGGTTAGGAGATTCATAAACACGTTCGATGCCATTTGTTGGTCTACGTACCCTTCAGGAAGTCCCCGTCTTGATCAGGAGGTGTAAAGGTCCAGCTTGACCTTGTGGAGCCGGAGCCAGAAGCAGCCGCGGGAGCCGACCACCCGTCTTGAGATACTCTCGGGTCACGACAATTTTGTTGGCGTCTAGTGAGACCCAAACCTGGGTCGTGATGGTTCAGCTTTTATTCTGAAAGGAACCGTTGCAGCAGGTGGAACAGCAACAGATTTTATCCAGCTTGTCGTTGGTTTTTTTGGCTGAAGAGGAAAGTTACGGATTGGCCACTCCGACAACTTCTCTAGAACGCTTTGAACTGGCGTTAGAGCTGACGTGGGCATAGTTTTATACTTCGGATGTTTTGGTTTATGGTCGGATGAAAAGATGACAGATTTACCAAACACCACCAAAACCACGCCTCCGTCAGATCTGGCAGATTCTGATTGGATCAGTGAAAGCAATGTGTCATGTCTTACTGCTACGTGAGATCAGTCCTAGTGGAAACATTTAAAGTCATATTACTTATTATATTCTATAGGATTATAATAAAGTAATCCATATTTTGATTTCACAGATTGGTCACATCTTTTTATTGACTAACACTTTGTTTGATTAGCTTTATTAAAATAAAGTTCTTTGATTTATTAAAAAGAGAGAGTCCTTTTCTTCATTCTTCTCTTGAGCTGGAAAGAAAGCAGTTTATAGCAAATGCATGAGACCTTGAGACCATATCTCATGCAGACTAGTTCTGTGTCAGAGGAGAGAGGGGAAATGACTTTTGGTGGAAAACAGTCATTTCATTCCGTTACACCTGAAAGTGGTGACCTACAATTTACTTGAGAAACACAGTTTTAAAGACTTTTGTTGTTACATTTTGCACAAAATCTGATAAAGGCAAGCATTTTTAAAGGAGCAGGATGGGTGGTTGCATGTTGAAATAGTTTGCATTCATTTATGTTTGAAATGCATAAAAATATGTCAAAATCCATATCTGTGTTACAGAAATCAATTCAGACTTTTTTGTCAAACAAATTTAGGTCAAAGTTTCAGAAATTTCCATTTAAACATGGTGTTGTATTCCAGAAACGTTACACATGTAATCTGCAAATAAACTGATTTTGTTTCTTTCTTTCCAAGGAATGAAGCTAAATAATAAATCAAAAACAAAGTGTTTCACCAGTTGCCCCTCCCCCTCTGCCCAGTGGACAGTCTTCTTCTTGGAAGCAGCAGCTTCTGGAGCCAATAGTTTTGAAGATGAAGAATCTCCCGCTGGCTTGACGTTAACCGGGTTTGTCCAAGAAAAAACACCAACATCATGAATGAATGGTGATATAAGCTTTGGTTCTGGACTTTCCTGGATCCAGTCCAGTCCAGTCCACTGGTGAGGTGAGAACCCAGAACCACCAGTGGTTGGTTTCTTCTATGGGATCTTGGCGTCCAGAAAACCCCGTCTCTTCATGGCTGTGGTGAGAACAGAACAGAGACTTAGTCAGTTTATCGGGCTTCAGGTCGCACCATCTTCTCAGGTAGACCAGAACGCCCGTAGTGCTGGAATGATCTCCACTCTGATGTCTATGTTGCGTTGTAATGGGACATTTAACGGTAAATCCTTTTGCTTCAGGGGAGAAGGGACCAGAGCTGCTGGAGGAAAACAGAGGACCTGTTCAGATCACAGTTGGCCACATGGGGGCAGCAAAGAGCTGATAGGACCATCACAGCAGCAGGAGGTGCTTACAGGGAAACGGGTTAGGCATCTTGAAAGGGGAGGGAGGGATGTTGGATTTCTTCCTCAGCAGAGGAGCAGAAGGGGTCTTTTTACGAGGAGTCGGGTTGGGAGCCTCCATTTCCGGTCCTACAGAACCACAAACACGAGTTTAGAACCTGGGGAAAATACACAGAGCAGCTGCAGAATATCTCACCAGGTCAACTGGACCTGTAGAACGCCTCTGGGCATGAGCTTTGACCTTGTTATGGCCTCTCTTAGCCTTTGAAGTATTTGATGCTTCTAGATCGCCCTTC